TCGATCTTCCACTCAGCCATCGATATATGTATGTATGTAAATTTTTTGTATTCCGAACATTTAATCTTAAATAAATGAAGTGTATGCTTTCAGAATGCTTTTTTGCAAATGAAATTTATTTGGTAGGTTGTAAACGATTTTTGTCGGATTTGGGGAGAAAATTAGTACGGGAAAAAAAATTTTGTGGCAACGCTGATCAAGGCGCACGCCACAAATCGGAGGAGAAGCTTACTTAAGATCGGGTCGGGTTTGTTTCTCTAACAACTATGCCGCTGAGTTTGCTCGAATATCTTATTTTTCACCGAGAAATTTTATTTTGAAATCTTCGAACTACTATTGTGCATTTTATCAAATGGGGAGGGGACAGTAGCGAAGTTGTCTGAATTCAAATTTTTCAATGAAAAAAACTTAAGTAAGCCTAATGAGATGTGATAAAGCAGGAGATAAATGTATCCAAAAATGCTATATATATTTTTTGGAGCAACAACAATTTGGACAAGCTATGTTATCTTGAAAACAGGTCAAAAGTCAAACCATAATTTTTTGGCATTTTTGGGTTGGAATTATTAAATAATTATTAAATATATTTGTATTATATTATATATTATTATTATTGTCAGTTTTTCATGGCAAAAAATATCCTCAGAGGTTCGTCATTGCATACCGAGGGGCGATCACTATTTAAAAAAAAAAAAATTCTTTGGTGTTTATGTTATTCGGAACCTGGGTTCGATCCAGGCCCTGCGGAATGGTATTGCGCGATTATAACCACCACACCACAGAGCAGAGCATTTCTGAGCTCAGATTCGAATTCAGCGAACCAAATTTTATTACTAAAATCTAGCCTCATCTCAGATGAAAGCAAAGGTTCAAATTTTGTCGAGGGGTGTTACTGTAGTGTTTTTCAGGTGAGCTGATGGACGGCTATTTTTACACCCGAACGCACTTGTGCACAGAGGTATATTAACTTTGTTCACATAACGGTTGTTTGTAACAGCCAAAACGAATCGAGATAGATATAGACAAATGTATACATAAATGTTCAGAATGAAAAGAGAAGTCGATTAAGCCATGTCTGGCTGTCCGTCCGTCCGTGTACACTATAACTCGAGAAAAAATTTAGATATCTCAACAAAATTTGGTATGTAGATTGTCCTCTACCCAAGGTAGGTTGGTATTGAAAGTGCGCGAAATCGGACAGTAACCACGCCAACTTCCCATATAACGGCAGTTTTCAGAAATACGAAAACTGCGATATTTTAGTTACTACTGAAGCTTACTCACTACAAATTGATATTTACAATGATTTTTAGACGTAAAATAAGAATATTATAAATTTTTTGAAAATGGGCGTAGCTTGGTAACAGGTACACAAATTTCTCGCAAAATTGGCACAGTTGTTAGCCTTTCTACAACATAGCAAAGGGCTGAAATTTTTTTAAATCGGACAATAACCACGCCCACATCCCATATAACGGTAATTTAGAGAAGTACAAAATTACCAGTAAATACAAAAACTAATTTATTCAAAAATTTTGTGTTTGCAATAACTCTTTAACAAAAAACACGTTTAAGATAAAATTTTGGAAAATGGGCGTGGCACCGCCCACTTATGACTAGGTATATATATCTCGGTAACCGTTCTATCAATTTGTATCAAATTTCGGACTAAAATTACTCCCACTTTTCATATAACGGTAAATTTTAGAAATTCTTGAAACTTCGACATTTCGAAATTAAAAGACGCTAATTTATTCAAAATTTATACTTAAAACAATCCCTTGAAATAAGTAACATTATTATAGAATTTTGGATAGTGGGCGTAATACCGCCCACATTGAACCATATAACGTCACTAGACACGAACAAAGGCGAGGGCTCAAAAGTTGACCGCGAAAAAAAACGTCTGCGAAGAAAGGCGCATAAACCTAGGCGACGGCAAAGAAAGACGCGTTGACATTTGACGGCTTATTAAACTTATTTTCGTGGTCAACTATGTTTGCGGGTGTAATAGTATGTGCATTCCCCAAAGAGTTTTTGGGAAATAATGCTGAAGTGACAGTCCTTGGCTAGGTATAAATCTATGTTTACGCGTCTTTCTTCGCCGAAGTTTTTTTACGCGTCTTTTTTCGGCAATGCGTCCTTTTCGCCGTCAAAACAATGGCGCTCCTTTATTCGTGTCTAGAGACGATAAGTTTATCTCATTAAGTAGAACTGAACAATGTTCAGTGAACATACTATCGAAATTTTTAGAAATTGGGGTAAAACCACTCTTCTTACCATGTAACGGTAGTTTTCAAAAAAGTGAAAACTATATTTAATACTTGCGCCGGGTATTTAATGTTCGGCTCCACCCTAACTTAGACGTTTTTACTTGTTTCCAAATAAGTTCTTCCACTGGGTAGGCATTCACAATTGCTTTACTTTACGCAATTCCTACATTTGCGTCCATGTTGTAACCAAACCTCGCGGAGCCTTGGGACATGACAGTAAGGCTTTATTGGAGCCACTCCGACATATTCGGTTTAATAATCCCCTGATGTCTGCAGCGTCTATTCTCAAAGAGGTCGCGCTGAAGACGGTGTCTGGTTTGGAGCGCGGCCTTCTTTATATAAACGTGTATTCTACAACTCTGAGATCCGCCGCGTAAAAACCATTGTCAATGAAAACATTTTTATTTGAGGGCATGCACCTGGAATATCCGGACGTTCTTAATGGGGAAAGTAGACCAGTGCTTCGTAAATACTGACAGTCATCGCCATCAATGCAATGCAATGGACGGGAAAAGCAAAAATCCGTCGTCTGTGGTTGCCTTATAAAGGAGCTCAAAATAGATCTTGCATCTGGGGTTAGAGAAAGACTTATTCGGAAAATTCAGCTTCGACGATGAAGCGCCCAACTACTTTAGATTTTACAACCTTGGAAGCTAAAGTTTCCAATACTGCTTGGCTGTCAAAACAGCAACGTTCCCTGTAGCCAACCTATAGTTTGGTAAATAGCTTTACCACACAGATTTGCTAGTGAAAAGAATGGGACGAAGATACGGTCTTGGAAATTTACTCTTGCACTACTCCCATATATACCTTCGAATTTTAGCTAAGTACTTAGCTTATACTTCCAATTGCAAAAAGTCTGCGGTGTGCTTCCAGCTGAGCTGATGGCTATCAAAGAAGCTGCTCTGTGCATGACGATGCTAATCCTAAAAATACATAACTCTGTAGGACAGTGAAGACGTAAATTTTAGAACGCTTCTTGACTACCTTTAAAACAGTTACACATAGAATGTAAACATATTCTAAGGAATCTGACATCCAAATTCCAACAGCGGGATTTGGGTTTCTCGACACAGAGATATGCCAGGTAATTGTGAAGCAGATTAGTTGGCCAGGGTTGGTACGCCCATTACTGCCACCTTTCTTGAAGGCCCAATATGCGGGATATCACGTCCAATCTGGTCCAGACCCGACAAGGTTTTCCTCGAAATCCATCAACTCAGGTTGGAATACACGCACAAAACAAATTAGTCCTTAGGACCTTAGAAGGTCCTTGGTCCTTCCATCGGGTTCGAGGGTGCCCTTGATTTCGTTGTTCACCCATGGGTGAGGAGTCGTGCAACATGTCCAAGCCAGCGCCATCGTTGTATCCTTATTCGCTTAACTTTGTCCATATCGTTAATAAGCTCGTACAGTTCGTCATTCCATCTTCTCTGGTACACGTCATCCCGGTAGATCTTGCGTAGAATAGTTCTCTGGAAAGCTCCCAAAACCTTCTCATCTTTTTTCGACATCATCCAAGTTTCTGCGCCATATAAAAGGACGGGCATGATGAGATATTTGTAGAGTGTGATTTTTGTGCGTCGAGAGAGGGCTCTGCTTTTCAATTGCCTCCGAGCCCAAAGTAGCACCTATTGGATAGAGTTATTCTTCGCTTGATCTCCAGGATGAAGTTTTTGGTGGTGCTTGTGCTGGATCCTAGGTAGACAAAGTCCTTCACTACTTCAAAGTTATAGCTGCCAACATTGGCGTGTGTTCCAAAACGCGTGGACTCTTTATATGTTGCCAGGAGGTATTTTGTCTTGCCCTCGTTAACCAACCTCTTTAGCTTATTTTTCTAAACTGGTAAATGCTGCGGTTACGTCCCTTTGTTTCATACCGATATCATCTACATACGCCAGCATCATCATTATTTTGATATATATGGTGCCGCTGCAATTCAGATTGGGAGCTCTTATTACGCTTTCCAGCACCAGATTGAAAAAGTCGCACGAGAGTAAATCGCCTTGTCTAAAACCTCGTTTGGTCTCGAACGCCCTACTTATTTCAACCTTAGTAGCTGAAGGTTGTACTCAACGTCAACCTGCATAGCCGTATTAGTTTTGCGGGGATCCCAAACTTAGACATTGCATATTACAGACAGCTTTTCTCCGCGCTATCAAAATGATGTTGTGTGGTGATTTGCATATCTACTGTCTAGTAAACATCCGCCGTCAAGTAATAACCAGCGTTACCAAGTGATTGGAAGATGGAATTCCACTGATCAATATTGAAATTCGATTGCGAGATTTTTCGGCTGTCCACTGTGACTGTGCCACGTCGAACTTCCGCCGCGTCAATTTGGTTCTTCGTTCTTTGATCAGGAGACACCGAAAGGGCGTTGTGGATGTTTCGATGCTCGTGTCTATAACTAACTACCGTGTTCGGGCCGCGGTGAAGTCGATCAGCCTATTTCGGTGTTCTGGGCAGCGCTCATAGAAGCACTCCTTATTGTCATTGTCCTTCTCCTCCTTTGGGGCGTGCGCAAATATTAGGCTGACGTTTAATATAGTTAGCCTTTATGCGGATTGTGGCACAATTCTTTCTGTGGTGGCTGTTGACCCTAGATTTAAGTTGTCGAAGTATCCGTTGTTATAGCGAGCCGCTTGCTCCAAGACATACGCCCGCTTGCAGCCGCAATTAATGGTGAACAGACGCTGCGTACGTCAGTGAGACCCTAAACCGAATATGCCGGAGTTGCGTCATCGCACTTGTGTTGCTCATGTTAACGAGAGTGCGCGAACGAGAGTTGGCATTTAGTATAGCCGTACAACTGTAACTGCATCCCCAGTAGATCGGCTATACCTCATCGCACTCCCAGACAGACATAGTACAGTGAATTAAATTACAGCTGCTCATAGTTATGAAGAGGAGGCTTCTCTCTGAGATGGAAACACCAGGTGAAGGTAGACTTGGCTTCACTTGGCATTTGCAAAATCGCTTAAGAAAGAAGATGATATTTTGAAATTAATTGAAAGCAAAAACGTGAACTTTGGCAAAAAGAGCCCGCTATTGAGATTTAATAATGGCATTTTTAATAAAATATATACAAGACTAAAAAAGCTAGTCTCACCTCTTCCATTAACTTATTAAATGATATGCAGCTGCAGATGCTCGTTTATACATAAATTATTTAAGGGAGAAGTTTTATTCTAGAAATGTTCACATTTTAAAAGCAATCATTTCGGTATCCTTATTTATGTACATAGCGTTACCTTAATTCACAAAGGCCCTAACCAATACTTCTTTATAAAGTGGCATGTAACTTAGTGGTTTTTGATAGTATCACTTTAAAATTTTTATTGAAGGTGTATTTTAATATATCCTACCAAAATCTGCGTTGGTTAGGGCCTTTGTGAATTAAAGTATCGATATTTACATAAATATGAAATTTGTGAGTAAAAGTGTACTTGTAACAGGATATGTGTATGTATATGTTTTTTTATTTGTTAATTTTTTTTACTTTCTTTCACCACTTTGCGTTATTATAATTGGGTAGGCTCATAAAACGGCCACCTTTTACCCCATTTTATACGATAATCGAACATTTAAGCAATTTATTTTACAATTGTTACACTTTCGTTGTGATTAGTGAGCGCTTCAGATTTATCGATTATCTGCAATTAATTTATTTTTTTTTTTCATTTGCATTTAGTGCAACTGAAATTATATAGACAGTTTTTCTTAGAAATCTTTCTTTTTTTACACATTATTTCACATAATTGATCTATAATTGATCATAATTGTAAGTACTTTCTTTAATAATTTTTATTTTTCAAGTTTGCTATATCTTTGAACTCTCCATTGATTTATCTGAATATTTTTATTTTTAACAAATATTTATAATTTTTCCCGAGTACTCGTATCTAATACACAACAATCACAACCGTAACTACCGCTTACGTTGTCAACGTTGAAAGTTCTTCTAAGGCTAGCCGACACGAATAAGCAACGAAAGCCCAACCGACTCTGCTCACTCATTTCGCCTAACATAAAAGGAGAAACGCCTGCCAACCAAGCAGCACACAACAATTAATATCCAAAGATACGCAGCGAACACCTGAACAACTTTAAGGAAGCCAACAAGCAACCAGCTAAGCCATCGAACTAGTCCTTGCCACAACGGGGTGGAAGAAACTTTTTGCACCTGTTCGAAGATTGCCGCATTACTAGTTGGGGACCCACGACTACCGGTTGGTATACAAATCGAATGTAGAACTCTGTTAAAAGCAGCGCGAGAGTGCACGTACATAAGTGAACGCGAGTACTCTTTGTACTTCCTTCTCCTCAGTTCTCAAGGCAGAATGGCAAATGCGTAAAGATGGCAGACATGGTTTCGACGGCATCGAAAGCCCTCGGGACCGACCGGCACAACTCGGATATCATGTGTCCATACCTACTTCTTTGAGTATGAGTGTGTGCTATGGTTGATACGCCTTGTAACGCCGAAGCCTTGGTGGTTGGTCGTCACCTTGACGACCCACAACCAAAACAATAAACAACAGTAACAAATGATTGTAAATTGAAGCAAAAGTGAAAGAAAGCAAATAGTTGTAAAAGTGCTTACTAGTATGTAATTAATATTTACTTAGGGTCAGAGGTGACAACCCATAGACGCGTCGGTGCTTGATATACTTAATAAGTATTGAAACAAACAAAACCAGGGAAGAGAATTCGGTTCATTAAGTCTGTGTAAACAAAAAATTTTATTGTTTTATGAAAACCATCCTATCGCGAAAAAAGGCGGTTTAAGGTGTTACATATGTATGTATTTAATATATATATATAT